TATTACTTATTACTTATTACTTGAATGTATGGAACCCTTGGGTTGTTACCAACATCTGGTGAAAATTTCATGTCATTAGCACCTCTAGTAATATATTTACTGAGAAAAATGGTGACGTGTTCAGTACTTATTTTACCCGCTGTATATACCGTATTTTTTGGACTATAAGCCGCAACTTTTTTCCTGAACTTTGAACCATGCAGCTTATAGTCCGGTGCAGTTTATACGTGGATTTTTTTCTTCAGCCACCAGAGGGCTCTTTAGCCGTAGGTGCGGTTGCTGCGAATAAAAGGAAGAAGAACAAAACGCCATTTTGTTTTAGCTAGTAGCAGACACCTTACAACGGATTAATCTTCGACAGACACAACGAAATATTTCTCTTCAAACTCAAACGCGCTCATCATGGAAAAGAATAGAAGATCTTCCTATGATGCCGCTTTTAAGTTGAAGGATATCGAACTTGCAGAACAGGAGAGAATTAGAGCCACTGCACGTAAGCTCGGCCTGAACGTTCGCGAACATTCCACTGAATGGTTCGCGTTGGAGACGGCAGCGTGGAGCAGAGTGAATGAGTCCATTACCAATGGGTTCTGAAAGGCTGGACTGCTAGGGGTGCTGGAAAATGGACTGCTATAGTCCGGTGTGGCTTATACATTTATGTTTGTGTTTTTATTTTTTTTTTAAATGGCGGGTGCTGCTTATAGTCCGAAAAATATGGTACAATGGAACGGATAACTGCACAATTTCAATTAAAAGGCCAAAACTTTGAAAGGCTGTGGAAGCCTATTGTGACTTATCTCTATAAAGGAACATCCTAATTCTGACTTAATTTGTTTTTTTTATTGTTGTTGTTGTTTTGTTTTTTTACTTTCTACCATGATCTTTCAGTTGGTAATACCTGTCTAAACCCTGTATTATAACAAATGAAAAATTGTATTATGTATGAAAATGATGTGGAACCTCAATATCAGTCTCAATATTAAAATGTTTGTATGTTAATTAAATGTTTTAATAAAGTTTAAAAAAACAGTTGTGTAAAAAGATTGCCTCTGCTCAAAGTCGCTACGGCTCGTTTCATGTCACAGCTGAATGCAGTGATATTAACGTTAAGTGTGGCCAGCTGAGGCGTACATTCGCTGCTATTATGAAGCTCGTGGCAATGGACTAGGGTTGGGCATAATCGTATTGTGTGCAATTAATCGCCAGACAAACATTAATCGATTATCCATCCATCCATTTTCTTCCGCCTATCCGGGGTCGGGTCGCTGGGGCAGCAGCTTCAGAAGGGAGGCCCAGACCTCCCTCTCCCCAGCCACTTC